GAGAACTGGAAAGGATTCACTGTGAAATAAAGTGCAAATCATTACTAGTTTTCCTCAGTTTTGTGGTAATGGTTGCGGACATGAGTACTTTTTATTTTTATTGCATAATTTCCTTAATGCAAATAATTGAGGGAACAATTTTAATAATGAAAATACTGAAGGAAATCGTTCTTAAAACAGAATCCTTCCTTTCTCCCATCATAAGTAGGTTCATTCCATTTCACCTGATTAAACTTGTTTTAAATTGATCATTACAGGTATATAAAAGCTATCCCAGTTATGACTTATCTGACAGAAAAGAATTCATCAAAAAGACAGTGAAAGAGGTAAATACTTGATCAATGAGATATCATATATTAAATTTCAGTTATAATATATGTCTTGCTTTGCTAAGATGGGTTTGGTAAATAAATATATTTAAATTTTAGAAATCTTAAAAACTGAATACTAAACTCTGAAACTCAGTTCCTCAGGCCCAAATTTTATTCAACTCTGTGCTTAATACGCATCTTGGTAATTTTGCTTTAATGTTTGTTTAATCACTTGATCCTATGCTATAGATGTATAGCATAGGATCAACAGCAAAAATCTTAATATTAATTGAAAATCCTGTTGAGTTTTTTGGAATTTTTTCTAAAGTAAGATGTTAAAATTTCAGCCTGAGCAAAGTGTTCATGGAAAGGTGGATTTATATAGAAGATGAAATGTTTTCTTTTCTTTTTAGCTCATTTCATGATCTAATGGGAAGAAAAGGAAGGCCACGGACTTGTTCTCCTGGATTTAAATATTTTACAAAAACCAGCAAATTGTAAAATTTATTTTGGTATAACAATATTGGTCGGAGATGACTATTGGCTTAATGTTCTGATGGGAATTACCAACTTTTTAAAAATTGAGTTTAATATAATTCCTAAATTTTGCATGTTAATACATGTCCTCTACTTTTGTTTTGTACATTATGATATTTCTTTGTAAAAATAGTCATATAGCTATTATAGGTTTTAGTGTTTGTAATGTAGAGATTTTTTTAAAAGAACAATATGAAAACTGTTGTATTAGTACATACACATGCAGAGACTGTTAAATACTGCAGTATTGGGCATTAAATTTATTTTGAATACACACCCATTTTCTATCAGGAGCTAGTCACATGCCCTGACTAGGACTACTGTTATGTTTTACTATCTTGCATGTGTATACAACTGAAAGTTGTAAAGCATGATCAATCACGAATAGATATTATTTTTGTACTTTTAAAGGCTTTTGTATATAAGCTTATTTCAGATTTCTTTGCTTAAAACCAGGTCAAGAAAGAAAAATATGTTTTAGATTTATGACCAGTATCAGTGTTTATGAATCATGTTGTGATTAAGTAGGAAGTAAGTATAATCACCATACAAAAGATAGCACATTTCTTTTTTTGTAAGGAATTTCTTAATTGCACTCTAAAGACTTAATGTGATATCCCATATTGTTAATTCATAAAAAATAGATTTGATTTTGATTTCTAAAATACTTTTCCCAAGGTGGTGTATTGACCATTTATCTGGTGTCTCTTAAGCAATGTAGTATTCTTGCAATACTATATCCTTGTTTTGGATTCTCAGAATCTATACCTTGGGAAAATACATATTTAAATATGTATCTTACAATTAATCTTAGGAACTCCTGAATATTATGAACTAAATTAAAATCTGAATTCTGCAAATAATTGTTCATGAATTTTTTATTCAATTCCAGAATGAAGTATCTGTTCACAAAAATCCTTTAAGGGATCAGATCATCATGTTTTAAAATTTCCAGCAAATGCCAAATAAATGTTGTCATAAAGTGAAATCAAGTATAACTAATTTCTCCATGACTGTATTGATTAAAATGATTGCAGGTTTTAAATAAGGTATTAATATGTAGTTACAGAATCATAGATCTATATTCCAAAATATTGTTAATTGATTAACATATCATTTTTATCACTTTCTTTGCATGCAATCATTTTTACTAAGCTGAGTGTAAATTTTTTATTCAATAAATGTCTTTTAAGGAAAATGTACACTGATATTTTAATACATGTACAGTAAACGATACAGAATGAAAGGTGTTTGTGTGTGTCATCTAGACAAAATATTCCTTGTTTATGCTAATTGAAGCAAAATTTTAAGAATATTATTTTTGTGTAGACAATGCGTATACATTTTCCTAAGCAAAAATTATTCCAGCGGTTCTTAACCTGTGGGTCGCAACCCCTTTGGGGATCAAATGATCCTTTCATACGGGTCGCCTAAGACCATCAGAAACACATATTTTTGATGGTTTTAGGAACAGCGTAGACTGAGCTCAAACTACAGCTCCCGGCGTCCCCTTCTGAGCCAGGAAAAGAAAGGCTGGGTGTCAGCTGGCTGCTCCTGCTCGGCAAAGCTTCTGATATGCTCTTTGGGAGAGCCGCTCTGAACCACAAGCGCTGAGCGGTCATCCCTCCTTTCCTAGAAAGGGAGCCTCGCTCGGCCACGGTAGCCCCTTGTGGTCCGGCAAAGATCTCGGGTGAGAAGAGCGGGCAGTGAAGGGAGCGGGGCTGGGACCGATTCCATTGATCTGCTGGGAGTTTAGAGTGCCCGGCCCGGGGATTGCCATTCAAATAACAACCACTGAGGAAGGCCAATTTGAGTGTTATCAGCCCCAAGTCAGCCACTTTCTGGTCCCTTCAGCTCAAGCCATAATCAGTATTAATTCTTGCCTTAGCCCTGTATTCATACATTGTACTAGTGATGAATCAAACTACTGTTGGGTTCGTGGCAAACTGAATTATAAACTATATAATTTGTTACGTAGTCATGTACTATGGTGGCTACGTACACTGAGCCATAATG